AGTCTTTTAATACTCACGGAGTCGTATTACTTGGGATTTCTTCGTTAGATAACTTTAATTTGGATAAAATAAGGTTATTCTAGTTGAAATTGTTTTTGAAAACAAATTTTAAGCTTTGTATTGTCGAAGACGGGAGTCAGTAACGCAGCCTTGTGTCAACCGGAAGTAAACACTTAACGCAATTACGCAAATTCAGAAGGCGATTTTTGCCAACTTTGAAAGCTGCTCGCGTTCGTTTAATTTTAGATCCCAATTTTAACTTTACGATTTCTGAAAGTTCTGACGTAGAGCTTTGGAAAAATGTTATTCACTTAAAAAATAACTGCCGCACTTTTGAGAAAATATGTTTGAAAGTTGACGAATTTTTAGATCGTGAATTGAACAGGCTTTGTATGCAAAGTTCAAGTCCAGGTCAAAATTTAAAACCTCATCGTATTTGACTCAAAACCTCAAGACTTCTCGATCATATGATCAATTTCCCAAACAAAATATTAAAACTTGCAGAGATAAAGAAGAATTGACTTTTGAGAGGTTGAAGTTTGGCCTTAGATTTTGGCATCGCAAAGGCCGATCACGATCGAAAACCGAGGGGGGTGGTCTATCTCGGGAAAAAAAAAGCTCAACGAAACTTTAACTACCATGGTTCGTCATCTAATCGGATAGTCTTTTATTGCTGAACATTTGGTGCAAATCGGTTTACCCCGATCTTTTGCCCCTGCCCGGTTTTCTCTGACAATCACTCTTAAATCAATTTCCAAAAGAAGGCAGTCACCTTAATAAGTGCACACCAGGCAAGGTCCCGAAGGTGTCAGATAAATAGGGGTTCCCCACTGTAAATGGCTACATACCTGAACTTCGTCATACCAGATTGCACATCCCCCCTGCTCTTTTAACCGTGTGTTGTTACAGTTTTTCCCTCTGCTTGGACACGAGTGATACCACACCTGGAAAAGCATTTAAGAGTAAACTATCAAACTCAACTTAAAAATAATAACAGCAGATTTGTTAAGATTATACGTGCCCATGACTGTTGACCTGTCTGGACAAAAACATCAAAGTTAAGTTGAAGTAACCATAATTAAGGTTGGTGGTCAGTTCTTTCGTCCAAATCCGCAGCCATCTATGCCATCTTTGATTCCCAAAATAGCCCATACAAGACAAATTAATAGTGCCAGTTCATAGGGCTGATTCCATAAGTCCTATTTTTTCGCTCCTTTCTGGGGTCGTGGAGTGATAACCAGAATCATCAAAAGAGCGAAAACACCGACTTATGGATTAACCAGTATAACCAGTTTGTAGATTTACCTTTTCTTTGACATCAGATATAAGAGAAATAGCAAGCCCCATTCTGACAAGTAAAATCAAAGGAAAAATGCAATTCAAGTCTTTTTGCAGTTGTCAACATGCAGCTGCATAAGTTGCTTGATATACTGCGAGGATCAGCTCAATTTGATACACTACAACCGCAGTACAAATATATATTTCATATAAATTCTCATATATATCTCTCCTATCGGGCCGATAGACCCACCTAATGCGTCCTTGAAGTCTCATATGAAACTATTAGCTCAGTGGTTAGAGCATGGCACCGGAATCGCCAGGGCACGGGTTCAAATCCCGTTCAAGACTCAAAATTTTTTCAGCTCAATTTGATTCAAGTCTTTTGACATTTGACATTTGACATTTATTGTTTTCAATTAATACATTAATATTTACACTTTTACCTGCAAGTAGCTTAAAGCTATTCAAGGCAGGTTAAAAGGAAAGACAAACATCTATAATTACAATAATTACAATATTATGGTGCAAAAAAAGACCAAAAAAGGAAAATAATATTTGCAATTAATAGATATGATTAAGTATTATTTATAATGAATATTGATACACATTTATAGTTTATAATATATAAACGACAATTGGATAAAATGAAATGTGAGACATAAACACAAACGGAAGGAGAAGTCGTATCAAGAATTATGAATTAAACATCATTGGAATTTCAACATAATAACCATTTAAATCTAGACTCTTAAACAGTAATGACCTAATTTCTTTTTTAAAGCTATTTTTTGATAATTTCCTTATACGATCTGGGATTTGATTCCATAATCTTACACCCATTCTGGAGAAAGAATCTTTCTGAATGTTTAATCTCGATGATCTAGAGAAAAGATTGTTATCATAAGCGGATCTCGTTTCATAAGTGTGAATGTCTTTAATGTAAATAAAGAGTTTGCTAACATTGAGAGGAGCATTGTTGTTAGTGACGTCATACATCAATGTTGCTAATGATTCAATATAAAGTAGCCATATAGGTAATATGTTAGTTTCAATAAATAAAGGGATAGCACTTTGCGTCGATTTGACATGAAATATCAATCTAAGAGCTCGTTTTTGTAAAATCAATAATTTATCTTTCAGTTTTTTCCCAGCCTGACCCCAAATACTTATTCCATACATCAATAATGGCTGTAACAAAGATTTATACATAGTTATCAAAGTATGTTTTGGCAAAAAATGCCTTAGTTTAGATARCAGACCAACTACTCTACTAATTTTGTTGCTCAGTAAGTCAACATGAGGTTTCCATGACAATTTACTATCAGTCAATACACCAAGATATCTAACATAATCTTTTTGTTCAAGATAAATATATTTACTATTTCTATAATCAAAAAGTTTAATTTTAATTTGATCACCTACTTTACGACGGGAGGAATGGAAAATAACAAAGTTCGATTTTTTTATGTTAACTGTGAGTTTATTAGCAGTAAACCAATCTTGCAGCTTTGCAAGCTCGTTATTCATAACTAATTCTAGATTTTTAACATTTTTATTATAATATAAAATGTTGGTATCATCAGCAAATAGATGAAATTTCAAAACTTTAGAGCTTTGACAAATATCATTAATGTATAATAAAAAAAGAAGAGGACCTAAAACAGATCCCTGGGGAACGCCGCATTTGATTTCTCGTTTATCAGATATATAATTATTAACAGTTGTAGTTTGGGACCTACCGGWCAAATACGATTCAAACCAATCATACAAACATCCTCTTATRCCMTATGTGTAAAGTTTTTTTAAAAGTATCTTATGATCAACGGTGTCAAAGGCTTTAGCCAAATCAATAAAAACAGCACATGTAAACAATTTCTGGTCCAAATTGGACTGAATCGTATTCACTATGTCAAGAATTGCATGATGTGTTGAGTGATGCTTTCTAAAGCCATACTGAACATTGGAAAGAAGCTGATGCTTTTCTACGAAATTAATCAATCTATTGAACATAGTTTTTTCAAAAATTCTATTAAATATTGAAAGCAATGAAATAGGTCTGTAATTACTCGGGTCAGTATCATCATCAGATTTGAAAATTGGAAGAACTTTGGAAATCTTAAGTTTAGTTGGATATTTCCCAGTTTGAACTGATAAATTCATTAATTTAGCTAAGTGTTCGCTAAGGACATGTTTAGACGCTTTTAACAGATTAACAGGGCATGAATATAAGCCATAAGCCTTGTTATTAGGTAAGGATAAGATTTCATATTCTATCTCTGACATCGTGACAGAGGGAAAAAAAACAACGAAGAATTAGGTTGATAAATGCTCTTAAGATATTCCGTAAAGTCTATGCTTGGTTTAGGAATCATTTCAGCGTAGTTTTCACCAACTGTTGCAAAAAAATTATGAAGAATAAAAGGTAATTTGGTAGGATCATTAGTCTTCTGACCATCTAAAGAATTGTCTTTTAAAGCTGAAATTGATTTTAATTTGCTTTTCTTGTTATGTAATAAGGAATTGATTGCTAACCATGTTTTTCTGGTATTCTTCATATTTGTTTCAAAATAAGATTCATTTTTATTTAGTTATAATCTATTATTGTGTGGAAACAAAGGAGGAGATATAAAGATAAGATTGCAAGGAAGAAATTATTACTTTCATCTTCTCTTGTAAAAAAAGGTTTAACATTTTAAAGCTGCAGCATCACCTTAAGACTACTTTAAGGTAATTATTTCCTATGCCATCCTCTCGTTAAGTTGTTTATCTTTCCTTACCTTTCTGCTCTTCCTACTCGACCAATTCTGTGAACATAGTTCTGTTTATCATCAGGGAAGGTTACATTGACAACTAAGTAAAAAAACATTAGGATTAACCTGGTATTGCAAACAATTTTACTTATAAAATCGTTAGACCAGCACTGTATAGGCTCACAGAAGAAAAAGTATGTTACAGAGCCCAAGGTTTTTGAGACAAGGTTGCACTATCCATGGATCCACCTAAGTCCTCCCAAGGGAGCACATTAAAATTTTGTTTGTGTAAGGAAAGGTATTGTTCTTGGTTGATCTATCTAGCGCGCGCAATCCATCATGTGACAGGCGTTCCTCGTAGTGTTTTGGTTTCGGCCGATCCGAATGACCTACGATCGTGTAAGGAAGGGAATGACGAGTGTAATAGGAGCAATAGAGTGTAAATATTCGTCGGTTTTCGGAGTAAATTCGCTAGCCCGACTAAAGCAAGGAACGCCTGCCATAAAGTGTAGCGCGCGCACGTAAACAAGCACTACAAGGAACGCCTGTCATATCTTAGATTACGTGCGATAAAATCGAAGATAAACCAACACAATCAAAATTTTAACGTGCTCCCTTGGTCCTCCCTAAAACTTTGCCTGACCTCTTACAGCGCTAACCAATCACACATGCAAAATCGCACAATTTTTGTCTCAACAGAATAAAGTTTTGGTGGACGTCACTCAAACTGTTTCCATGACATTGCCAGGAAATGTAAAGTTTTCAAGAGCACGTGCCTATGGAATGTTGCGAAAACGCCTTGATTGGAGTCCACTAAGCCATTTTTGGTCGCAACAGCAAATTGTACGGTTTTGCGCGTGTGATTTGGAAGTGCTGTAACCTTCGATACATGATTGAAAAAATGTGGATGTTTTGATTTATGGGGAGGGCAGAATCACTAGAGAACCCAGAGAAAAATGTAAAGGGCTTTAATTTCTGTAGTGCCATTCAGTTGAAATTCACTGACTGCTATTAACAGAAGGCGAGGGTGTGCACCTATACTAACCCCTGCATATTTAAAGAGAATCATTCTTGGAACTCTTGCTTTGCTGACAGTGCACACACCGACTTAAGGCGTGATTACACGGAGCAATTTTCTTTGCAACTTGTCTTGCAAAGGCGTTGCGACAAAGTTACATGTACCCTTTGTAGTGTGTAACCTACAGAACAATTTTTTAAATGTTGCAAGACAAGTTGCAGCAATTGTTGCGAAAAGTAGAATTCGTTTCTATTTTTGGCAAAGATTGAGTCTCCGTTGCATCATGTAAACACTCTTGCAAATTTTGTTGCAACGCTGTTGAGAGACAAGTTGCAGAGAAAATTGATTTATGTGATCGCGCCTTTATTCATGACTTGCATTTGATAAACCTTTAGGATATGTGGAATGAGGTTTTTGCACAAAAACTAAGAAAACAATTTTTCTTTCTTATCAGTTTATAATTAGAGAAGAAATGTTCTGAGATTAAAACAAAAGACAAAACAAAAAATTATCAATAATATCATACCATAAGGCACTCCCTTGATGTCTATTCCCCTAGCAGCCACATCAGTGCAAATCAAAAACTGAGCCTCATTATCCTGTTGAAATTTCAAAAGGTTAAGTAAAGTATAAACAGTTAGCCCATGAAGTTACTTTGAGGTTTCCAGCTTTTGAGTGTCCCAGAGGGTATGTGGTGAGTAGTGTATGYGTACGTACACCCTTTTTGGCTCGACATTGTCTGCCAAATCAGCAATCGAGAAGTATAAGCCATGGAATGAACAGAACTAAGAGGGTGTGTGGTGAGTAGTGTAGGTGTACGTACACCCTTTTTGGCTCGACAGTATCTGCCAAATCAGCACTCAATAAATATAAGCCATGGAATGAACAGAACTAAGATATATTTGCAAAGAGCTTTTCTGTTTTCCCAACATTAGAATTCCTCGAATATTTCGACTTTTTTAAAATCAAAATTTATGCTAATATGAAAATTTTATTTTGAGATTGAGGCATTTGCCTCTCTTTCCTTAGTTTGCCTTATTGCATGTACTTCCTTGGAGATTACTAAGATTATAGCACAAATATACCTTAAACAGCTGCAGATTTGTCTTTCTTTCTTGCGGTGACCGATCTCCATGAAGAACTACACAAGAGTACTTATTTATCATAGACTTTGGCCCTGAAGAACAAATCATATCATTTATTCATAGTAATTTTCTGACACTGCGGATACCAGTCGTGACGTCGTATGATGTTGCGTGACCGTGACAGTGTCGAGTAAGTACTAATAATAATACTGTGAGGGCTGGAATGCCTGTGCTGGAAGATTTGGCCGCGACTCTCTCAAATCCTCTCTTCTTAGTGGCATCATGCAACCACTGAAACAAAACCTCGAATAAAAAAAAAAAGACAGCCCATGAAAGCGATTGAAAAAATTGATGCGCGTTAAGACACTAATTTGTGTACAGCTGCTTATCGCCCCAACCAGGAGCATCACCCCCACTTCATAGGAAAAAACAGAAAATGGCAAAGGCTAAAAAAATGCCTTGATCAGGCTTAAGGCTCTTGTAATGGTTCAACCGTCTTACCTCCACCATGCTGCAGTAAATACTGTTCTATGTTATCACAATCGATCTTTGTGCGACAGAAGATGATCGCAGTGTCCATTTGGTGCACATCAATGGCTTTCTTAAGGTATTCCGCCTTCAAGATCTTGACTGCTTCTGAGAGCGTTTCTATAAGAAAACAAATTAAAGCCATTTTTGGGGGAAACATTTGATGTTACTGAGGCATTGCGCCCCCTGCAACTTCGCGCGAATAGTCCCCTTCACAGTTCCCTGCGCCATCTTGAAAGGTAGCCGTTCCTTTGCATCGAAGCGAGACGAACGGTGAACTTGCAATGATAGAGACGTAAGGATAATTGTTCAAGGTGTTAAAAAAGGTCTCTATCATTGCAAGCTCACCGTTCGTCTCGCTTCGATGCAAAGGCACGGCTACCTTTCAAGATGGCGCAGGGAACTGTGAAGGGAACTATTGTCAACAGACAAGCATGAAGCGTATGCGCAGAGAAATGCGCAATGTTCTCCTGCAATTCCTATCGTTTTCCTTTCCGCAAAAGTTAGCAATTTGTGTGAACAATCGTCACGCATATCCTTAGTTATAAATCTATATCAAGTGCAATCTTGATAAACAAGATTTAGTTTCTTTGAGCATTTACACCTACCTGGTGTTTGGCTGCCGGGCTTGATCTTGTCACGATAGTGTATGTCATCAGTCTGGGCAGAAAAGAAAGAAATGAATAAAGAAATGAACAGAAAAGAAACTTCTAGTAAGTATGTTATGAAGATAGGGAAGGGAAGGCAAGGGTATGGCAGGAGAAGTGAATGGAAGTGAAAAGAAAGTGAAAAGAAAATAAGGAAAGTGGAAAAAGGAGAAGTGAGAATATCGCCACCTGGTTAGCGGTATGTTGGTAATAGCATCGGTCTGTTGGACCAATAACCGGTCTTAAAATAACCGGATTTAAAATAACTGAGGAGAAGGTGCTGCCTTCGTAATTACATCTACTAAAGGTTAGACATTCAAGTCTTCTCGGACAAGGACATAAAATGTAGGCCCCGTCTGTCTTCACTCTATAACCCTGTATAAGGTGGACGTAAAAGACTGAAGATACTGGTGACGACCATCTTCAGTGCCCGTGTTGATACCACAGGGCCCACAGTAATTGGCAAAAAGTGGTTGTGTTGTTTCAATCCTCAAGGGAAAAAAATCATAAATGCCTCTTCTTACTTGAACAGCATTCTTCAGGTTCATCCATGACGTGTCAGTTCGTGGATCCAGATGACAAACCTAACAAAAATGAAAATAATTTTCCATTAGGTGTTCAATAAAAGGATTTCTACGGAGGCTGTAAAAAAGTGCTGTGATACACCTCTTTTGTTACTTCTAACTGTGACCATGCTAAACATTGTCATTATGTTCTGCACCCTGTATTAGTGAGGGCAGCTCGGAAAAGCAGTTTTCTTTCTTATTTATGGGAATTTTGGTTATTTTTTTAAGCCTCCATGCAAGGAAAACTAATGAAATGTGGAATGTGGAATTGTAATATGCAGCTGTACTGCACAGTACAACAGTGTATCTGTACCGCACGACTTTGCGCTTACTGAATTTCCATTTTTATTGACAGAACAAGTTAAAGACAAATTTTCGAACAGGCACTGAACACACCCATGTAATACAATCTGACTTTGAAAAGCTTTTATTTGCACTCAGAAGAAATATAATATATGAGAAATAAGATATGATATCAATAAAGGGTAGGGCAGGGTAGTACTGCAGGAGAATTGAGCTAACCAATACACAGAATAAAAACATGACAACCAATTTAAAAAATTATAATTGTTCTGCATTGACCAGCGACTAGACTAGACTCATACATGTGAAAACCCTTTTATGTCTCGATGTGAACACAAGAATAGTTATTTAAATTGATCACTATATTTCGATTCAGTCAGTGCAAAGGGAACAAGACAGAAGTGAAAAACTAGTGTCTGAGAACGAATCAAAGCTAGGAAAGTTTACATACCACGTGATGTACCGTTTCAGGTACACTGTCTTGTCCCTTGAGATCCACCCATGTGGGGAAGTGCATAATACGATCCTTCAAATCAAGAATATACAATTGTAAGATTGATTAATAAGAGCAGAAAATATGCGTAAGATAAATCAGAGAACAAATAATTCAATCAAAATTACAATTCAATCTAAAGTTTCTAACCACTTTAGTTCAAAGAATTTCATTCCCTGAAGTGTGGCTTTCATTTGGGATGCCAGCGTAAGTAAAACCACATACGAAAGCACAGTACTTTTATTCCAGTGTTACTTGTACACTATGCAATGTTCCTCATTGGAAATTGACTAGTAATTTTGTTGCAGTTATAGAATTGAGTTCTATTTTCTACAACGATACTGGAAAACCTGCTTTTATTTGGACAATTTGAATACCGAGGGCATATTAGTAAAAAGAAATACTTACGGCTAATTTTTTCACGTCAAAGGAGTGAAGAGTTGCAGAACATGTAATAATCTACACAAACAAAAAACATGAAAAAAAGTGAAAAATTTCACAGTGAGAGTGCTGGTCACCATGAAACTGTGATTATGACTGAATGTGCATGAACCTCTTCAATAGGCTAAGCATGTATGTTAGAGATTTTAAAAATATATCACAATACCGACTGAGGCTTTCTTTTTTTCTTCAAAAGAACAGTAGATATATATGGTGCTTTAGATTTGATTATAATGTTACATAATGAATTGACTAGCGTTTCAAAACCAAAATTTGCTTATTACTGATAGGAACGTTGTATGTTGTTTTATTATTGTCAAAAAATATATTTGGTGATCCACATGCTTGTACTACATGAAGTACCACACGACTAGACTTTGCAATCAAGTACATGGTCTATTCACCTGTAATCGTTTCCCTGTTGGGCTTGTCTTGGGGATCTTGTTATATATTTTCATTATGAGGTCGTTGTTTCCTTGTGCAAGCAGACCATCCTGTACATGCAAACACAAGAGAAAATAAACAAAATGAATGGATGAATGAATGAATGAACAGATGAATGGATAAATGGATGAATGGATGAATGGATGGATGGATGGATGGATGGATGGATGGATGGATGGATGGATGGATGGATGGATGGATGGATGGATGGATGGNATGGATGGATGGATGGATGGATGGATGGATGGATGGATGGATGGATGGATGGATGGATGGATGGATGGATGGATGGATGAGCAAAGCAAGTGAAGCACAGGGAACCCATGCATAAAGAAACACAAGGGATAAATTATCGAAATGATTATTAGATTATTAGATGTTAAAGACTTACCGCTTCATCAAGAATGAAAAAGCTGACCTAGAAATTCAATGCAAATTAATGAATTACAAATAACATTTGAAAAACGGGAAACTGGGATATCCATGTCGTGGGATTTGGAAATGGGATTTCATTCAATTATACTTGGATTCATCCTTGTTTTCACAAGAGTAGCACTTAATAGTCAGCGACTAAAAAACTGCGTCCCTCAATACATGATTGAATTGGGATTTAGATTAGAAGATGATTTTTGCAGAGAGGAAAACCAGAGAACCCAGAGAAAAACTCTCAAAGCACAGGAGAGAACCAATTAGAAACTCTACTCACATAGGACACTGAGTCCAAGTATCGAACCCAGGTCACATTGGTGAGGAGTGAGAAGTCTCGCCGCTTCCCCACATGATGATAATCAATATTTGAATGTAGAGGTGTACCTGGTGTAAACTTATCTTGTCTGTTGATATGAAGTCACTCAGCTTACCAGGGGTTCCCGTCACTATATCAACCTGGAAGAGTGAATATGAGACATTAGGGACTAAGGTCATTGAAATAAGCGTGGTTAAATTGGTAGGGATTAGGATACCACAGTGATAAAAACCATATAAATAACATAAAATAAATAATAAACACCATACAATTACCACCTACATTAATAAATAAATTATTACCTACATTAATAAATAATAAATACAATATCAATACCATATAATGAAATATATATGCTATATGAATACCATATAATAAATACCATATAATAAATAACAAATACTGGCATATAGTCGGATGCGGAGGGGTGGGGGGGGGGGGGGGTTGGGGTTTAAAATGTACAACCCTGGCTTCCTAAAGCAACGTCATGTTTCTACCTACCCCTTCATTAATATTGTTGATTTGTTTTACCCCTAATGTTAGTCATGTTTTATTTCCTTCATTAAATAATAAAAAATTTGATTTGTTTTATTCCTATGTAATGTCAGTCATATTTCTACCTTACCCCTTCATTAATAGCTCTTATCTGATCTTTAGTATTCTCACCACCAACCAACAACACTGACCTGAAGATGAAATAGAGATGAGCAAATATTGAAAATGATTAAAAAAATGGGTCTGTGTTTTCTCACATTTTTGAGCTGTGTTGCTCTTAATATTTTATTGTGTTTTTTTTCCTCAATGCTTATTAACTCTACTTACTTAATCTTTGGGTCAGGAAGCTGTTTCTGGAATAACTTTATTTGCTGATGGGTCTAATGAAAGAGATTTACTAAGAGTTACTGAAACATTGCATCACAATAACATCTATTTTGAGTATGTATAATCTTTCTAACAGGAACACAATCATTCAACAAAAATGTAAAGGTTTTCACTTTCACACAAAATTTTTTTGATGTATTCATGGGTGCATGGGTAGATGAATGGAAACGATGGGTTGGGTTGGGTCAGGATGGAATGGATGGACAGAATGGATTCGGATCAATAGTGATGGGTAGGATTGGGATGGGTTGGGATGGGTTGGGATGGGTTGGGATGGGTTG